GTTTAAAAAACTTGAGAACTTTCATGAATGTCCATGAGGTGGTTGAAAAATCAACCAAAACCTTTGCCTTGACAAAGTCACTCAAAGAATGAAACATGTCGGATAAGTATAGTTTTTTACCTCTTGTCTCTTTATATACATATATATATACTTGCGGAAAGGGTTTTCGTTCTGATGCGATGAACACCTCGGTGTTCACGAAGTAAAAATTATAAACGAAATGGATAATTAAAGTCTCCGCCTTCTTCTTATCATATATATATATATATATATATATATATATAGATATATATAGATATATATATATAGATAGATAGATAGATAATAATCCGTAGGTATATAATCCATGTGAATCCTAATAATATAAAATATTAAAACTGATCCACAAATGGACCTCAATGTATCTATCAGGTCATCCCATAAGTTCTGTCCGAATTTTAACTTTTTTTAAAATGAACGAAATTTAAAGAGTATTTTATAATGTCTAATGGAGCTGAACATTATTTATATGTTTAGATGCATTTAAACTGATTAAATTTTATTTCAGAGAACAATAAAATTAAATTTTGTTTGATTAAAACCCTGCTAACATGGAAGTACCCAAGAATCATTTGAGGCACGTAATGCATTATGAGTTCAAGAAAGGAAACTCAGCAGCCGAAGCGGCTAGAAACATTCACTCAGTTTATGGAGAGGAATGTGTGAATGAAACAACTTGCAGAAGATGGTTTGCAAAATTCAGAGGTGGAGATTTCACCCTTGAAGATGAAGATCGAACCGGTCGTCCAGTTTAGTATGATGAAAAGCTTCTTGAAGCAGCCCTTGAAGAAAATTCTGCTTTATTAGTTGAGGAATTGGCAGTGGTTCTCAGTTCAAACCATACAACTGTTCATCGTCATCTTCAACAACTTGGAAAAGTTCCTAAACCTGGAAAATGGGTGCCTCATGAATTGTCTGAAAATCCCGAATTGACATCTGCTCTTTTTGGATAGACTTGTGGCTGGCGACGAAAATTGGATCTTTTATGGAAATGTTAAGCGTCGTAGACAGTGGCTTGGTAAAGGGGAAGGACCCCAGCCACAGCCGAGAAGGCAACTTCATGGGCAAAATGTTCTTCTTTTAATCTGGTGAGATTGCCAAGGAATAATCCACTTTTAATTTTTTTTTCTTTTTTTTTAAGCATTACGCCCCGAGCAAGGTGTGAAGCCACTAGGATGCAGGGGGTTGCAGATAGGAGTGATAGAAGAAAGGATGAGGAGAGGGATAGTGGAAAAGATCAAGGTAACTGGAGATGTCGATTGACATTACATTTGAATAGTTGGAGATTATAGCTCTCAGGGAAGGGTGTCCCACAGGCGAGAGGTGCGAGGTATGAAGCTATTGGAGTAGAAGAGACGGCTACATTTAAAAGTTTCTACAGTGAAAGGGTGAGAGCGGGATGCCAGTCTCGTAGGGCGCTTGAAATCATGAAGTCTGGGAACCAGTGAAAGCAGCTCATCGGAGCAATTACCATGAAAGTATTTGTAAAAAAGACAGAGAGAGTGACTGTAGACGAGATGCCAGATCAGGGCCAATTATATTACATATCCGTCTCTGGATCTTGTCAAGAACTCCGTGGTAAACAGAAGGTGCCCCAGACCATATATGGCAGCAATACTCCATGCAAGGGCGAATGGTTGATTTGTATATTTGAAGTATCAATTCCGGGGAGAAAAATTTCCTGGCACGGCACAGAGAGCCAACTTTTCTCGCGGTGGAAGAAGCAATTGACTCAATGTATTTGTTCTATCTCAAGTCAGCAGTCAACGTGAGACCGAGCAGACGCAGAGAGTTGCTCTCAAGAAGTTGACTATCAGACATTCTAATGGGGGGCAGGGAAGGATCTCTATGGTGATTAATAGAGAGTAGTTTAGTTTTCGAGGCGTTAAAGTTGACCAGCCAATTTTTGCCCCAATTAACAACCGATTGGAGGTCCATTTCAAGACGCACGGCCAGGTTAGTTTTGTCACCGAAACTAGATTTGTTTTTGAGGTAGGAGTAAATTGTAGTGTCGTCCGCGTAGATGCCAACTTGAGAATCTATGGCGTCAGGAAGGTCGTTGATGAAAATAAGGAATAGAGTGGGGCCAAGGATGGAGCCTTGGGAAACACCTGCGTTCGTTGGATAGGAACCGGAGGAGAATCCGTTGAGAACGACCTTCAATTCACGGTTTGACAGGAATGATTGTATTAGGTCAAACAATCGACCTGTAATACCATAACTGTGGAGCTTGCGAAGAAGGCCGGCATGCCAAACCCTATCAAACGCTTTGGAGATGTCTAGGGCCATTTGAATAGCTATTTCAGCTTAAAAGAGTTTCCTTGCGTGATTTGTCAACACTAAGGGGTTATGAAATAACAAAAAATGATAGCTTAAAAATTTTAAACTTTAAAGATTCACGAAAGAAGAAGAGATAGAAAGAAGAAAAAACCGTAAAAGGAGAAAGAAGAATATAAGAGATGACGCGGCAAATCGTCTAGACAGAGCATAAAACCCAATTTCATTGGTCCTAGAGGAGGAGTTTTAAAATTAAAACACCAGTTAAAATAAACTTGACTTGTATATCAAAATATCAACAACTAGTTCCTATAACGAAAATTACTTGAAGAAAATTTAAAAATTAGAGAAAATTTTTTTTAATTATTTAAAAAAAACCTTTAAGAAAAGTAATTAAAAAGTAACATCTAAAATAAGTAATATACAAATAATAATACATATAATATGATAAATAAAATAATAATTAATGAAATAATTATTAAAGTCAAGTTATAAAGTAAATTTAATAAAAAATATTATATATTAAATATAAATTAATAGGTAATAAATATAAATTAATAATTAGATAACATTAAAACAATATATAAGTAAAATATAAATTAATTAATAAATATAAATTAAAAAATAAAACCATTTAATAAATGTAAATATAAATTAATTATTAAATAAATTAATTAATATAAATATAAATATATATATATAATTAGAATTAAATATTAAAAATATGTATTTATATATTAAATATAAATTTTAAATATTAAATTTAAAGTTAAATATAGAATTATAGATTAAATAAAATATTAGAATAATAAATAAGATATATAAATAAAAATAATTCAGTGAACTAAAACAATACATATAGTAAGGACAAAAATAAAAAAATACTAATAATAGTAGTAATAATAATAATAATAACAACAACAATAATAATAATAATAATAATAATAAACATCTATGTAGGAGGAAAGTTATTTGATAGGAAAGATAAGGAGTAGAAATAGCTGTATATGTGTTAGGTGAAACAGATTAAGCAAAAATCAATAATATTCTTGATCAGTTTGAATCTACATCGGTGACGACAGTTGACAACTAACTCATTCCTTTGACTTAGTTGTATACTTTGATTATTGAATTGAATTATTCTAATTTTCTCTTCAAAACACAGGTTACATCTATCCTTAAAACTACTAGGAGTGTGAGCGAAACCTATGAATCTCCAGTCAATCTGTAAGTTCAGATCTTTTCCCATAGACACTCTTTTTCCATTCCAAAATTAAAGTACCAACTGATCTCCCCCCCCCAAAAAAAAATCAAAAAATTGGGAATTGAGATAGACCTCGACTACATAAGAGTAGAGAGACTGAAACGACGCAATGACTTGCTCTCCGGGAGGTTTACACCAGCCATGCTGATGGAGAGTAAAACGGGTTTTCTATGAAGATAGCGGTTTCGTTTTGTAAGTGAAAAAGGAAAAAAAAATTGAAAAAAAACTCTTTCAGTTAACCACTTATGTCAGACTTTCTACTAAGACAGGAGTAAATATTTGTGTCATCAGCATATATACCTAGTTGGGATCTGATGGTATCTTAAAGTTCGTTGACGAAGGTAAGAAACAACGGCGTTCCCGAAGTTCGCAGCTAGGAGTTATTTATGCTGATGAGACAACTATTTACTCATATTTTAATAGCAAGCATATATATATATATATATATATATATATATATATATATATATATATATATATATATATATAAGGAGATTAAAGTTGTTCCAACAAGAGAAATGTATATATTTTAACGAGAAAACAGAAGCCGCAAATGTTTTTGGTTATAATGTGTATTTTTTGTATTTATTTAATTAGTTTAAAATATGTAATATTCGTTATTTCATATATTTTTGCTACACAGGTTTCAGGTTTTTTAACCGTCATCAGGAGAAGAATGGTTATTTTCATATATTATATAAAGGTATTAATTTTTTTGGTTATGTTTTCCTATGTTTAATTATAGGTTTTGTGTGTCGTAGTAATCCAAATTCTTTTTGAATTGGTGGAGAAAATGTTCCACTGCTTAGAGGCTAATAAAACAATTAGGATTGGTCAGAGAAAGGTAGAAGGAATGACTCCTATATTTTTTTCAAACTATCTCCATTTTTGTGTATTGTGTGTGTGTGTTTATTAGTATATGTATTTAGAAAAATATGATGAACTTTTTAGTGACGTGTTTTATCTGTTAGAATTTCATTTGTTGATGTGGCCAGGTCTACACATGCGCACAAAATTTTCTCTTTAATATATATATATATATATATATATATATTTTGGTTGGATAGATGTGAATTTGTGACCATGTGTTTCACGCTTTAGCGATCGTCAGACAAACGGTGTTTGTCAGACAAAAGGTGTTTGTCTTACGATCGCTAAAGCGTGAAACCCAGGGTCACAAACTCACATCTATCCAACCAAATATGTTGGTTTCTATCTCTGATATTGAGCGCTTTCTTATAAGTACCGCATATAATATATAAATAATTATATATATATATATATATATATATATATATATATATATATATATATATATATATATATATATACTAAACTGAGTATTGAACTCATTAACATCTTGAGTGAAGATACTACTCAGCATTGTTGCTGGGAGGGCACCTTACTAAAAAATATCGGCTTACGTCCATATCAGCTCGAAACATTGGTTCCCGTACGATTGCAGAACTTAAGCAACGTTGAGTCTGGGCAGTACTTAGATGGGTGACAACTTGGGAATGTAAAGTGCTATAAGCTTCAATGCGCAGGTAGTGTAATGGGTTATGGCTCAGCTAAGAATTGTTAATTGAAAAGCCGAGTTCCAATCCTCTTTGGTTGCATTATTTTCACTTAAGAGAAAATACCATTGTGCAAGACTTGTATCAATGAATTATTATTACCTCAAAAAAGAATTCTTATTATCCGAAAATATTTTCTAGATTTAGGTAACTTGCAAAGGGTTGATAAACCGTAGCAAAAGAAATTATCAATCAAAAATATATCAATCCTCACATTGCAGCAAAGACAACAAAGATAAAGATAATTAAAAAATATATTGAAAAATTTTAATACATGATCTTAGACATTCTGATTATTCAAAAAGACCTTAGAATATATCGGCCGGAATTTTGCTGAACATATAAATGAAGATAATGGTAAACCATAAATGACCAGAATAATGAAATTCAGAGAATACAACAACAACCCTGTCATAAAGAGAATATCCCTGAAAAATTATGGGCAGTATTGAATGCATGAATGCCAACAAACCTTTTGCTTGACGATCGAGCAAGACATTAAGGGAGTTTGTAAACTGACACACAAAGAGTTTTTTTTTTTTTTTTATTGATTATGCATCTAATGGACTAATGAGACGTGAGGCGGTTTCAATTACAAGCATCTTGTCAACAAGCGAAATCCTGGTTCATGGCATTGTGGAAAGGCTCACACAAAGAGAGATGTTGACTACACACCATAGCAAGTTTAATTTATTGGCAATATCCGGTTGTCTGATCTCAGGTCAGGTTCGATAACCAATCCAGTTCCTCGGGAAACGCGAAAATGTCGGTGATTTTGATCCAAGTTTGAAAATTGATGATCTTTGCTGCCACTTTGGCGGAAATGTGTAGAGTCCCTAACATCATGGTGATACATAGGAAATGAACCTCTTCGAACACTGATAATTAATAATATTTTATTATTCTTAATGCATTGGGGTCACCCTTCCCTCCTACAATTAACTGTTTCATCTCTTAACCGCAGGCTTATTTCTGTGAGGACGTGCGAATGTTTGTAATGGATATTTACACTGAATCAGAAATCGGGTTGCTGAGTTCGAATGCCTGTCGGGTCCGTTACAATCACGCACGGGCAAATGTTCTTGGGAAAATTATGAATCCAATACATTTCCCTCAGCTATGGGTTAAAAAGAGAACCTGGATCTGCAAAAACATTATTATTCTCAAAAAAGTATTAATAAAATACTCACTCGCAAAATAATTAATTATTCTTTAAATCTCAATCTGTTTAATATAACAGTTAGAATAAACTAAAGCAATCAATGCAAAAATTGGGCGAAAAACCATCTTTACCTTCCCAGATCAAAACAAACTACAACATAGACGATTATAAGTAATCTCCAAAAAAAATCTTTTACTAGGTTACTAAAACATTGAAACCGAAAAGAATAAATAAAAATATATAAGATAAAAATGAATAAAAATTCAGTAAAATAAACTAATCCAAATAAATAACAAACCACACTCGCCAAAATAACCGTTGGAATAGTCTATCCACGATGCAGCACTGACACATATATATCAATAGTCGAGAAAAACCCGACAGTCAGATGATTGTGTAGAGCATGAAACATTCTGTCACCTCTGGGTGTTGACTTCAATGTTCACTTCTTCTATATTTACATACATACATATATATATATATATATATATATATATATATATATATATCAAACAAGCCTTCTATATAAAACATCTGGTACACAATATTAATCATACCAACGAATTCCATCCACGTTGTTCTCGCGGGGCTGGTGTTAAACGCTACAACAGGTTAGGGTGGGTAAATTATCGTAATTTTATATTTTTAATTTCGCGCATGCGCGTTGTTTGTTTTCGATTTAGTCGACTCTACAGTATAGTAAGGTCAACTGGGCACCGTCTGTTAGAAAAATAGCATCATGATGCAATTCACTCCGTCAGAAATTTGGAATAAACATGCTGTATTGTTTGATACATACACACACACACACACATATATATATATATATATATATATATATATATATATATATATATATATATATATATATATATATATATATATATATATATATATATATATATATCGATTAATTATTGTGTACCAGATGTTTTATGTAGAAGAATCTCCGACTGACACCAATTCAGTCGGGTTTCGATCCTAGATGAACCGGATGTCTAACCACACTGAAGAGCTGTGAAACAGCGAAACAGTCTGTCTGTGGATGACTTTATATTGGCTCCTGAAAAATTAATTTCAGTTGAACTCTCTGGGGAGGAGGTGTTGGTTTGTAAACAGTGACTTTTATGACTGATATAGCGAGACTCTTCGGCAAAAGCGAATTGAGTCACTGTCGGTCACTGTGTGTGTTTATGTAAAAATAAATAGGCTAAAATTCACCTTCATCCCTGCTGTGTACCGACGGCTTAGTGGTAGAATCTCCGACTAACACCAATTCAGTCGGGTTTCGATCTTCGCTAGAGACAACCGGATGTCTGGCCACACTGATGAGCTCTGAAACAGTCTGTCTGTGTATGACTATATATATAATGTGCGTGTTTCTGTGAAGAAAGACTGACTATCCCGCTTTACATTTATAATTGAAACAAGGCCCTCTATAAATAGAACTCCTGCTCATGGAACAGTAGCAAAAGTGGATCACAAACTTTTGTCGCACTGACCTAGTGCATTCACAATAAATATTATCATGTTATTAAACCTTTTCTCACTCAGTCTTTTGTTTCCATCGTTTTTCTTATATAGACTATATATATATATATATATATATATATATATATATATATATATATATGTGTGTGTTTAAAATAGGATATGGAATGCCGACAAAGAAATTTGACAAATGGAAAACGTCTCATTGAAACTAGATTTGGTTACGCGTTTCGCCTTTCTCGGCTTCATCAGATCAAAAATGAAAGAGACCCATAAAAAGGATAAATACTATGATTCATTATTTAACCGTGCGCACAAATACTGACAGACATTTCTTTCTTTCGTTTTTGGATCCGATGAAGCCTTGAAAGACTTTTCGCGTAATCAAATCTAGTAATGAAACGTTTTCCATTTGTCAAATTTAACAAACAAACATGCACACACACACACACACACACACACACACACACACACACACACATATTTATATATATATATATATATATATATATATATATATATATATATTTAAAGTATATTTCCATCTGTCAAAATTATATATATATATATATATATATATATATATATATATATGTATATATAGTACTTTTTGGAACAGACAGATATTTTGCTTCTAATCGTTTACATATACGAGTTAGAAACGAGAGGTAAATCTTGTATGCAGCCCAAATGATAAGGCATGCATTTAATTATGTTTTATCGTTCTGAATTCTAAACTTCTAGAAGCCGACTTTTTAAATAAAATTCAATTCTAAATTATTTTTTTTTCTTATCTCGAATGAGTCAAGGAACGGTGAATTCACATTGGAAGGTTTGCTCAAATAGTAATTTGAATCTGGTTCGCTCAAAATCCTTCAAGATCTTTACAAATATTCCCAGTAAATAAACAGAGATGTGGCTTTACAGAAATGTTCTGAGAATACCGCAGAAATGGAAAGAAAAAGGACAAATATTCAGAACCAAACATAGACAGATACGACATATAATGAGGAAAGAAGGCTAGAGAATTCGATACTCACAGTGTATAGGGAAGACAAGAAGGACATAAGGAGACAACATGTAACTTACCCAAACGAGCTATTATGAATGGGTTACAGAACAGTGACAGTGAGTAGTAAAAAGACAAACATTTAGAGGATGATAGGAAACTGTGGAGAGACATGATCGCCCACGCCCTGAAAATACATAGCACAGAGAACACTTGCATTTTTTCACATACTTATGAATAGTAATGAATAAAGATCTTTCCACATAAGTATATGAAAAAGTACATTATTTTTAAAAAAAAAAAATTATTGATATATGTGAAATTCTTCACATGTTGGAAATTGGCGTAAAAAAAGTATTTACTGTTCTTCCTTAACTATCCAATGACAGTTAGATACCCAGCTATACTTACTGTTCCGTTCGCCACAACCGCGCATTCCGAACATGTCTTTCATTTCACAATCATTCAAGGAAAACACAAAGAAAATTCGAATCCCATGTTTACAATTTCATGAGTTGAGTAAGATAGTTTAAAAAATTATGTTAATGAATGATTTTAAAAGATCCCCGGTGATTCAATGATCTGAATTTTCACTATGTTTCCCAAAAAATTAACTCAAGAGGAGTAGGTAAGTTCACCTAACGCCCGGTTCACCATCCTTATCCGCCTTTTGAACAGGAGTAGAGGTTTATCCCTTGATTCTGGTTTAGGACTGAATTTCCGGTTCCTACTAAAGTCTTCGCATTCTCTTTCACTTCAAGTAACCCATTGCGTCTTAGTGATATTATCCCCTTGTTTAAGGTAAAATAATTAAATTTAGATTATGTCATTAACCGGTGACTTTGCACTGCTTCTTGATCATTTACATTGATTAATTGTTTTCATGTAAATCCTCTTCTAGCAGGACTTTGAACCATGCCATCGTTTGTCTAAGTTACCCAGAATTGTTTTAGGAGTATTCTGTATATTTCCAATAAATAGTATGAGATATATGCTCACAGGACATGGTCCTAATTCTGCATTAAAATAGTCATGGTAGAAAGGTCTATTCGCATCCTTGTGCCTTCAAAGAACTGTGACATAACAGCTCTCCAATGTCCGGAGCAATTTTGGAATCAGTACAAATTTGTGAAGCTATATAAAATATTTTCTTTCACAGGCACGATATTTATATCCGCTTGACCGTTTTTTTCATCAGCTGATAAATTCCTTTCGGCCTGACATCAACATGGCTGCTGCTTAACTTCATAAGAGTGATTCGTTGTGCCTTCTCGGGTTAACATTCTCGGT